ACGGAGAAGAAAAGCGCAGAAGTTTAATAAGCTCCGACAAGTTTTCAGAATGGTTTAAGTGTCCTCCGCTCCTTCTTCTATTAATTAGCAACAAGGAAGAAACACCACCAGGAGAGTCTTCAGCATGGACTAAACAGCTCTCACCGTTGCCCGTGCACACTTCAGCGCAGCTCAAACGCTCTCAAGGGGCCCCAAAAGAGATACCAGAGAAACCCAGTTCCTGCAGCATTTCCCACAGCCTGCACTGCAATCTTTCAAGGACAGGGGGTTTAGCTTAAGTGTCTCACTAATTCACTCAAGTGACCGGAAAAAACTTACTCTATTTTGCAGTTGGTTTATTTTTAAGAACAGGTTTTGCCTCTCAGAGTTGTAGTTTGAGAACTATAATTTAAACGTAACTGATAGCATCTGACCCGTCACCTCTACATACAAATTAGCTATGCTGCACTTCTCTGATGAAACCTTACAAACAGTAGCCCTCATGCCAGCACCTGGCTTGCAAGAAACCTTGGCTGAAGAGAGGAGAGGAGAGCCTCTCTCCCCTCTGGGTGGGCTCAGAAGGCTCTATGGCACTCCGAGCACTGCACAGAAGCTTGCAGAATACCTGGAAGGATTCTGCACCTTGATTTCCTTTTGTGTTTAAAAACGAGAGCGGTGGCACAGTCTGTGCAAGGTCACGGATCAAGAAAGTTTGCAAAAGTGCTCAGTCTCAGTTCCCAGTCCCTCACGCCAGCTAGCTCTCTCCATCTGCCAGAGGAACGTAAACATCTTGCTTATCTGAATCAACAGGAACTGGGATTGGGACATTCTGCAATTGAGGTTTCAGTGAGAGACACACAGCTTCGATCTGACTGGTAACAGCAGCCCCAGAGACTGGGTAAAGAAAAAAAAAAAAGATGAAAGTAGGAAAATAGGCCCCAGAAGTCTTGTTTTGCACTTTGCTCTCATCCACTGTCTCGGTTTCAAGCCTTCCTGAAAATGAGGCATTGTCCCAAGACGTATTATGAAATTCCCAGAACCACGTCATGTAACGAGAACACTTGCAGGGTTTGAAAGGGAACACAGGGGTCGGGTGAGAGAGAAATCCCAGACTATTCCAGGAAATACAAGGAGACATCCCTGAAATGACTTCCCCTCCAGCCAGGAGGGGAAGGGAGGACCTCCCACCTCGCTCCCTGTACCCAGCCAAAACTAGGTCAGTGACACAGCCCTGCTCACAGACAGAGCTTCTTTCCAGACTGCAGGATGCAGGTAACGGCCCAGCAGGGAGGGTTAGGATGGGGGAAATCTTGCCCCCTCTCTTAGCCAAACGTGTTTCCTGTGAGAGTGCCCAACCAGCTCCCCGGCCCTGTTAAAGAGACAAGCAGTTCCTCCCCTGCTTCCTCCACAGCACCAGAACGGTGCCAGCTGGCATGAATGAGAAAACCCGCTTCAGCCTCTCCCTGGCCCTTTATCAGACGAAACAAAGGAGAAAAATTCCCACCTCTTATTTCTAAAGGCTTCCTGCGTCCCTTTCCTCAGTATCTGAGATATGAGAACTGCTGTACCTTACTGATCCCCTCACCATTCCCCTTCAGAAGAGGCAGGAGAAGCTCAGGGTGCTTTCCCCCAAGCCCTGGGGGGATGCCACCTCCCCGGCTCCCCATTGCAGGGCCAGAACAACATCCTCTCTTGAGGAAGCCTCCTCTCTTCACAACCTTTTCCTGCCTTGACCTTGACATGAGCGCGGCGTGGGTGCCAGCCCGGGGCATTCGCCCGCAGGGCAGGAGGCGGGCTGCGGCGGCCCATCCTTCGGCTCGGGGGACCAGCCAACCGGGGGGCAACCAGCCTCCGTGGCCAG